GTCTCCCTGCTTATTTAACTTATATGCAGAATACATCATGCGGAAGGCTGGACTGGAGGAATCCCAAACCGGAATTAAGATTGCCGGAAGAAATATCAACAACCTCCGATATGCAGATGATACCACTATGAAGGCAGAAAGTGAGAAGGAACTAAAGAACCTTGTAATGAGGGTGAAAGAGGAGAGTGCAAAAAACAGTCTGAAGCTCAACATCAAAAAAACTGAGATCATGGCCACTGGTCTCATCACCTCCTGGCAAATAGAAGGGGAAGATATGGAGGCAGTGACAGATTTTAATTTCTTGGGCTCCCTGATCGCTGCAGATGGAGACAGGTGCCACAAAATTAAAAGACCCCTGCTTCCTGGGAGGAAAGCGATGACAAACCTCGACAGCATCTTAAAAAGCTGAGACATTGCCTTGCTGACAAAGGTTTTCATAGTCAAACCTATGGTTTTTCCAGTAGTGATGTATGGAAGTGAGAGCTGGACCATAAAGAAAGCAGACTGCCAAAGAATTGATGCTTTTGAACTGTGGTGCTGGAGGAGGATCTTGAGAGTCCCCTGGACTGAAAGGAGAACAAACCTATCAATTCTAAAGGAAATCAACCCTGAGTGCTCACTGGAAGGACAGATCCTGAAGCTGAGGCTCCAATACTTTGGCCATCTCATGAGAAGAGAAGAATCCTTGGAAAAGTCCTTGATGTTGGGAAAGTGTGAAGGCAAGAGGAGAAAGGGACTATAGAGGATGAGATGGTTGGACAGTGTCATCGAAGCAACCAATATGAATTTGTCACAACTCCGGGAGGCAGTGGAAGATAGGAGGACCTAGCGTGCTCTGGTCCATGGGGTCACAAAGAGGAGGACACGACTGAATGACTAAATGACGACGAAAGAACAAATATGAATAAAGAGCTTCCTCTAAAAGATATTTAAATATTAGCATATATAAGTAACCTCTCTAGGATAAACAAACACAAAAACTCACATTATCCTTCTAATGAGCCAAATGGGAAATGTGTGACCTTCCAGACCTTGTTTGTTTGCAACTCCTATCAGTGCAAGGAAACAAAACCAATATGAGGGATAGTAAGAAATGCAGTCTGAAAACATCTGGAGAGCTACATGTTGACCATCCTTGGTCTAATTCAGTGCTTCTCAACCATGGGTCCCCAGATGTTCTTGAACTACAACTCCCAGAAATCCTGTCCAGCACAGCTAGTGGTGAAGGCTTCTGGAGGTTTTAGTCCCAGAACATGTCAGGATTCAAGGTTGGGAACCAATGGTTGAACTCATTTTTATTCCCTCTCCTTCTTCTTTTACAGACTTGACAAAATCTAGATAGGAAGCAGCCTATGGAAATGGAAAAATAATTAGCAATTGTAGGAAAGTCTCCTTCTGAGTTTGGCCTTAAATGTATGATCTAGAGCTACTAGAAAGTAACACAGAAGCTTTCTGATTAGCAATGATTAAGGAAGAAAAGAGAGAAATGGGAGATTGCTTCCACATAGTTGAGACTTTCCCAGGAGAGGAGGAGGATCTTGGAAATTTGGCTGATAGGAGGGGTTTGATTTTTACATGTAGGCTACCACCTCACACTCTCTTTCCTTATTACAGCTAGTAGATATTATGAAGCATATATTTTTAAAAAACAATTGTGTCAAAGCTGAAAAAATATAGATGGCAGACAATCCCAAAAATGGAAAAATAATTGGCAACCATGGAAAAGCCTTAGTTTGGCAGTAATTATATGCTTTGAAAGGGCCACAAGTGGCATGAAGCTGAGCTTAGTTCATGCTCAATTGATTACCAAAAGTCATGCTATAAGACTTTCAACTTCATATTTTTGCTGGTGCTGAAATCTTCATTTGAAGCTTCCATGATCTTAAGATTTTTTTTAAATCGTAGACTGCTCCCTCCAGAAAGAAAGCTTGGCATTTTCCCATTGTAGCCTCCCCCATTACTTCTTTCCCCTTCCATAACCTCTCCCTGCCCAGACTAATCAGATTAGGAAACCTCATAGAAAATTATAGAATACCTACATCCCCTACTGCTGAGAGGATCCACTGCTGATCTAAAGCCAAAGTATTGAAGGAATCCTTTTGTTTGCAAAAAGCGCACTTAGGATCCAAGCCACTAGTTGCACTTGGACATAAAACTGAACTACAGCTGAATGATACAGCTGAATGAAACAGGAATGACCTGAGCTCTTGTGCCCCCGTCGTCCACTCTTCTCTTTCTAGTCATGTGGAACTATGATTAATCTTAACTATTATGTAGTTAAACAAGTCAGTTATAGATTGCAAAAGTGTACCCCTTCCCTCCTGCCATGTCTGGCATAAATTCTGTCTTTTTTCATTAGTAACGATTATTCAGTACTAAGCCTGACCCAAAATTGACTTGTTTGAAATGAATCACTGTTAACCAAATTGGAAGTGAATGCTTCCAAACTCTTCCTTCTTGCAACAAAAAAGGCACGAACACAGGAGAAGGCTGGACTTATTCTTATCTTGCAAAAAAAAAAAAAAAAGCAGTTTGGTGTGGTGCTGAAACATAGGTGGCAAGTTTAACAACATTCAAAAGCCAAATTAATTATCTCTCCCAATCCAATGAATAGATACTGCCATACTTTAAACCAAATCTATTTAAATTTGCTGGTGCTGATGATTTTGTGATGACTATTTAATCAGAGTTAGAGTTGTCCTTTATTAATAACTTAAAATATCATCCATTACCGCAGGTAGCCACTGCTATCAAATCTAGACTAAAATAAAGAAGTTACAAAATGAAAAAAATCCAATGAGTAGTCAGAAATTTATGTTTTACAGTGCTGAGGGCTTTCTCTCATGTAATAACATTCTTTTAATGTAAATCTCTGTCCATTTGCTTATATAAAATCAATACATTTTTAAATCATTTGAACCTACTTTCTATCACTGATCTGGTGAAGATGACATGTTGGGTTCTTGCAGATGGTACTTTATAGATTGCAAATGTATACCTCCTGCCTTGTCTGGCATAAATTCAGTTTTCTTTCATTAGCCATGATCATTCAGCCAAAACTGATTCTAGTTAAATTAAATCAGCTGTTAAAGCATATTTGGAGATCCTGGTTAAAGAGCAGGCTACTTAGAGCTGCCTGCAGTTAGTAATGGTTATAGCTATAAACCTTAACAACAGTTGAGACAAAGAAGGAATAGAACATTTGTACCAGAGAAGAAAGAGATTCTGCACAAAGCGTGTAGCTCTGTTCCAGTCTTTGCAATACAATTAAACTAAGCATACAAGGATAACCAATATTCTAGCTCCTCATATGTGGTGCAATAGCATATGGAGGCTCTCCATGTGGTCAGAAACCCTGAAGTATGAGACGAAGAGCTTGCAGCATAGGGGAGGCTCTCCTCTTCAGACAAACGCCATCGATATGAACACTGTATTATTAATATTGATAACAAACTTTAAAAATGTTAATTGTGTTAACTACACAAGCAATATGATAACAAGTAGGGTAAAATTAGATAATGCTGGGCATCTGTAGGTTAATATAGAAATGCCTTTGAAGTCTTGAAGCAATAAGTTATCCTCTCAAGAAATAGATGGTACTGCTGAGACCCGTGTTCCCATGAAAAACAAATCAACTCTGGAGCTATATATACAGTATAACTTGTGAAAAACAGCTTAGAAATCTATTTAATAATATAGTTAAAACTGGAATTAATTAATTTATGCATGAAGTAATATACTGAAATTCAGTTGTCTCCCTACCTAATCCTCCTTTGATTCTTTTTCCTAAAAGAGATAGAGATCAATGACCAGAATATTCTGACAGTTTGAAATGTTCAGACATTGGCTTAGAAAATTAACAAGTAAATGAGCCTTTGATGGTGGAGATGACACTGCTGGATCCTTTAACTGTGCTACCAGAGTAAATGTGGGGGCAGTGCTGGCATGCAGGTTTATAGCAGGGTCTTGTCTCTAGTCCGTCCATTCATGTGTTGCCTGTTACAGTACTGTAGTTGCTTACAGTTAGGGGCTGGGTGTAAACAAGTCCAGCCCTCTCATCCAAAGAGAGAGACGTGTTATTGCCCATAATGAGATGTAGCTCATTGACAGCAGCTGGGAGTGGTGTCCAGCTGGAAGCTACAAGTGACTAGCAGTGTTCTGTCATTTTCTTTTTATATCTGACGTGCTGCGGCTTGTTTCTAGTTCAAATGCTCATGTTGCATTGTGTGACGGTACAGCGTTTATCTGTGTAAATTACAGCGAGAGGGCCAGGCCAGATGTAAACTACAACAGGGGTGCATCCCTGTCCTAACTCACTGCTTTGGACCCTGAGTGGACAGATCTTAAAAGTTCTAAGTAAAACCACAAAGAAAGGTGCTGGTCCCAAAGCCTCCCCGTCCTAAGCCACACGATCCTACATCCCTCTGCAGCAGTAACAGTGACCAAAAGGAAACGACGTGAATGTAGTCATCATCATAAACTGCCATGACTTCTCTCCTCGCTTGAACCGCAACGCGTCTTAAGCGAGTGGGACCAGATACATATACAGTACTGTAGCTTGCTCGTCGCCAATGGCAGAGAAAAAGAAGGCGCGCACATGCCACGCGTGAAAAGGGAGCCAAACTCCTACGAGTCAGGACACGGCTCTGAGCATAGTATAGGTCAAAGACGACTTCTTTACCGGCTCCTGACATTTCCTCGTTCCGGCCAACCCGCTGAGCCAACCAAGGCGCAACGGCTAAAAACCGGCGTGAGACCAGAAGCCAAGAGCACGCCCCCCTTCCCTCCACTTTCGGGTATCCCACACACCCATACACACCTCACCTGGCCCCGGCGCGGTGGCTAGGCACACTTCCCCCCCACCGCGAGTGAAAGAAGCGCTCGGGCAACCGGTCCTCGGAAGCCGCAGCGGCTTTCCCGGTGGCTCTTTTTCCCTCAGGTCGGCAACCCCAGAAAAACGCGACACCTTCCCCTACCACGCATGCGCACTTCCGGGATCCGCGCTGCCCGAGACCATAGACGTCAGGGCCAGCCGGTCCGCTCGCACGAAACGAGGTCCCAAACAGCGCCACCTACTCCCGGCGAGGAGAATGCTGGACAAGTATAATATGTGCGCCCGCTTACATGGGCAAGGAGTCAAGTCGGCGCACAGGGGAGCGAAGTACTACTGTGATAATAAAATGAGCGAGACATCTCATTATGCAAGGTCGTTTGTTGTTGTTGTTTAGTCGTGTCCGACTTTTCGTGACCCCATGGACCAGAGCACAAAAGGCCGTCCTGTCTTCCACTGCTTCCCGGAATTGGGTCAAATTCATGTTGGTATCTTCAATGACACTGCCCAACCATCTCGCCCTCTGCCGTCCCCTTCTCCTCTTGCCTTCACACTTTCTCAACATCAGCGTCTTTTCCAGGGAGTCTTCTTTTCTTATGAGATGGCCAAAGTACTGGAGCCTCAGCTTCAGGATCTGTCCGTCCAGTGAGCACTCAGGATTGATTTCCTTTAGAATTCCTTTGTTCTCCTTGCAGTCCAGGGGACTTTCAAGAGCCTCCTCCAGCACCACAATTCAAAGGCATAAGTTCTTTGGCGGTCTGCTTTCTTTATGGTCCAGCTCTCACTTCCATATATCGCTACAGGAAAAACCATAGCTTTGACTATTTGGACTTTTGTTGGCAAGGTGATGTCTCTGCTTTTTAAGATGCTGTCAAGGTTTGTCATTGCTCTCCTCCCAAGAAGCAGGCGTCTTTTAATTTCGGGGCTGCTGTCTCTATCTGCAGTGATCATGGAGCCCAAGAAAGTAAAATCTAACTGCTGTATTTTAAGGTGAGCTTTTGTGGGCAAATCCACTTCCTCAATCAGTCTTTGCCTGGTGCTTTTCACTCTGGGGAAGAGCATATGAAAACTGCAAAAAGTTTTTTTTGTGGCTCTTTAAGTACTAGTGTATGTTATTTTGGGGTGGGGTTGTTTTCAAAGAAGTAGATGTGTTAATCTGTGCAAAATATATGGGGGGGGGAGTAAAACAGTATTTTAAAATGCAGAGGCATCTTAAAGACAAATTGTTATAATGCCTCATGAGTTTTTGTGGATCAAATGCTGTCTGAGGAAACAGACTTGACCACCAAAGCTTACATGGAAATGCAGTTTATAAGGTGCCACTGCAGTTTTGGTTTTTTATGGGGAGGAGGAATTAGTGTGTGTGTTTTTTTGTTTGTTTTCAATTTGCTTTTGTCTGGAAATTTGGTGTTCTTCTAATGGCAGCATATTGACATGAATATTTTAATGTGAGCTTTCAGAGACAATTCCACTTCTTGTTTGAAGTAGACTTGTCCACAAAAGCTCATATTAAGATACTGCAGTTAGTCTTTAAAGTGCCACAAAGTTTTTCTCTCCTTTAATGTTTCTATTTTTCTGTTGATTTTGCATATCAACATGGGTATTCATCTGGAAATTGTTACAGCACATTGTGAACGTGAATGAGTTTATTAAAGGATGCTTCCACAGCCCCCCCCCAGACCCTTACTCTTCTTGTTTGCTTTCTGCTTTGTGCAGTACACTTAAATCAGTTATGATTTTTTTTTCAAACTATATAGCCATCCACTCACAAGAATAAGGTATGCGCAAGGGATACCAGAAAAACAGTGAAAACTCAGGCCTAAATCCAACTGCTAGATCAGACCTGTTGAATCAGTTGTTTAACTGTGAGGCAACATTTATGCAAACTGCTTGTATTCTGTGGTTTTACTCTAGCAGTTGGATTTAGGCCATAGTATAGTTCTTGAGAACAGAGTAACTGGCATGTAGTGTCAGGGAAGCATCAAAAGCTGTGAGAGGGGAGGATCCTGAAAGAGTATGAGAGGTGACTGCAACTCTGAACAGGAGTGTTCTGTACTGCAATATTCTGTTGCTGGTGCCACTTGTAGTTCAGTTACCTACATCTGGCTATTGAAACATTTTTGCCAGTGTCCTATTGGCTATTTACATGAATATAAGAGCAACACAGATATCACCATGGCTTGGTCTCAACTTGACAAACAACATGTAACCATTATCTTCTCAGTAACCTTCTGTGATTTATGCATTTCTTTCTTAAGTGTCTGCAAATAACCAGTGGGATTCTAGCCCTGGTACTAAATAAACAGCAACTCTGCTCTGGTACAACACTGATTCTTAGAGAAGGGCTTTCTTGTGCTTTATCACTTAAAACCTGATATTTATACTTCTATTTTGTCATTTCAGAACATAAAATTGTAAACTCTCAGAGGAGGACTGTACAGAAGTCAAGCATGACTCATTTTTAATTATAGTCGCAGTATCATCATGTATGGTGGCATAATTACAGTTTGTTTTTAACGTGTTAGCTTTTAAGTTAGCAAATAATATATTTAATATATCAAAACGAGCCTTTGTACCATGTATGATTGTATGTGTGTGTGTGTGCACACGTGATCTGCAATTCTATAATTTTTGCTTGAATCTATGAAACCACACACCTTTATTTTAAATGTGCTGAGAATTACTGTAATTTTGAAATCATAAGAAATAATGCAGCTAATTTTATTTCTCCTTATGAATGTCTTTCTTTGAACGCAGAGAGTATGTGTCAGATCAGAAAACTGATCCTTGGACCTCCCTAGGAGTCCTACAGAACGTTATAAAGGGGGGGGGGAAGAGAGATCAGATTAATTTCAGGATGAAACCAATCATTAACAATCATATCTAGAGATGGGCACAACGGCCATCCAGCTGATACATGGTTTGGCGTTGCGCTCCCTTCAGCAGATGCCCACTCAAAAGCATTGCCCTGGCTTCCCCACCCTGACTCCTCTGGTCACTGCCTCCGAGTGGGAGCCTGCTAGAGGAGGCATGGTGCCAAACTGTGGATTAGTTATGTGGCTGTTGGCCAAACTAGCAGTTCATGCCCATCTTTAATTATATATATTTAAAAAATCATCTGTATATTAAGGTATAAGTCTTTTTCATTACTGTAATAATTCCAGGCAACATGAGCTGGTCTAGTTCTACAAACTTTATTGTCTACACTGTTTCTATATTCCATACACACAAAATACTTCAAAGGTGTTGTAAAATACACAAGTCTTACAGCTATGGGGAAAAGTGTAGGCACAAATGCTTCAGTAATCTTTCCTTGCAAATTGCAAAAAGATACAAGTGTAATCATCATCCCAAAGTCTTACAACTATGAGAAGTTGTAGACATTAAAATTTAAAACTGCAGTGGTCGGCAGAAATTAAATAATGTAAATATAAAGACTATAGCTTATAAGTGGCAAATATGAGAATAGAAGTCATTTCAACAACACATTATTTAAAAGTAAGAAGCTTTATAACTTTAAGTAATCTTTTGCCTTATTTAGAAAGCATGGACAGATGTCAAAAATAAAAAAAATTATTAAATAACTCTCTCAGCCTCTAAGCATAATATTAACAAAGAGAAAAATACAATTTTAAATGTTCCTCCAGTCATTTACTAAATGTGAGTTTTCTGAGTGCAGCTGCTTTGCTACATGATCATTGTTGATATCCAGAATGTGTAGTGCAGCATGGAGCTGTCATATTATGATGAGTTGAATGCCTTGTTTTTGTGTGTTCTATTTCCCCATATTTATAACTCTTTTAAGTTGTTTTCACTTCCTCCTTTTTTTGTAAACAAACCTTATCTTCAGGGTCTGCAAGTTGTAGGGTCCTGGAGATCCAGCAAAACTTTCCCGGAGGCTTTGTGTCTCTAGGGTCTGCAATTTCATATTTGCTCACTGTCATTATTATGGTTTTCATCATTGTTTTGATACCGATTTTACCAACCCTAGAACTCTAATAATCTGTAAGTATAAGCCCCTAAACCAACAAGACCATTGCAAATTTAAACTGTTAGGATCACACAGTAGGGTGTGCTATTAGACCTATAAACACATTTTTCTTAGGCACATTTGTTTATCCTGCCTTTCTCCTTAGAAAAGGACACAAGGCAGCTTACATAATTTCAAAGACTTTATTTAAAAGCTAAAAACTGCATCTATACAAACATTTAAAAAGAATTAAGAAAATATATTTAAAAAGAGGAAACTAAAAACACATTCAAAAGCAACAACGATCCATTTTAAAAACCCTCTCAAAGAGCCACTTACTAAGAGAAAGCCTGCCTGGAAAAAAAAACAGCAAAGATGGGGCCAGCCTGGCCTCCCAAGGGTAAGAGTTCCAGAGCTTGGGAGGAGCAACAGAGAAGGCCTTCCCCTGTATCCTCACCAACGTTCTACCCAAAAGAAAAAAGAATGCTGAACCATAATATACATCTTTTCCACATATGAACCAAACATTTTCTCTCAAAGTGCCTTCATTTTTGCACCTCAATGAAAAACCTACCTTTCACTTCTTTCTTCTGCCTTTTTTGCATTCTTTCCCTAACAAGGCAATCCAAATAAACAAATAACTTGTGACATGCAGGAGGAAGAAGAAAATGTAAATAGTTTGTCAGGAGAGCCTGTCATGGAAGTCCAGGAAAGAAAGAAAAAAGCCTGACAGGAATAGAAATCTGAACCACTAGGAAGAAGCAAAATCATATTTGCATTTATGTTTTTCAGATACATATCACTTGCAAGTACAGTACTTATACACATGGTCCTTACATATCCCAACATGGGAAGCTGCCTATTACCTCGTTTATGTGTCCATGTAAGTAACCCGATATTGTCTACATTGTCTTGCACATAGTCTCCAAATCATAGGCACAGACTTCCCCATCACCTGTTGTCTTCAAGCTGAAAATGTGAATACTTGAACCAGATGGTGGTGGCAATATGCATGTTAAGTGTGCAAATACTTTGTAGGCTCAGAATCCTGGAAGAAGGCAAATAACTTTTTACTCTTCCACCCTCATGACTTTGAAGGCAAGTGGGGTGAGAATCAACTCAATGTTTTCATTCAAAAGCATCTCTGGACCTTCAAACCCTGATCTATAACCCAATTTTCTTTTAATCCCACACATGTGGT